CCACAATCAGGTCTTCACATCTCTCCTCACCATCGATCTGTTGCGAGCCCTACCGGAACGTCGTGGCCTAGGCGTGTCATTTAACTCTGTGTACGCAGGGTTTCCCTGAGGCCTTCCTCGCTCAAAGAGCACCTCAGAATCGAGCGAGTCCATTGTCGAGGATTCTAGTTCCCCTTTGTCTGTAAAACTTATCCTGTCGAGTCAACTAACTCGTCCCGTTCAGTCAAAGATGGAAGCGGGTGGAGAGTCAAGCGTTGTGGAGCAATTTGTGGTCTCTTGGCAAAGGTGCGTGATCGAATCAAAGCAGGCGTTACCTGCCGTGTCAAAAGGTGGGGAGTCTTCCTTAAAGGGAGCAAAGAGAGCCGGAAGAACCCTGGCAGGCTCCGACAGCGTGAACACGTATCATTATTGTATGGTTTTTGCTGACTCTGGGTTTCGGTGGTGGGGCCTCCCGAGGCGAAATGCATGCAGGGTACATGCCCTTCCACCAGACACTCCTGCCCGCAAGTAATGTCAAACAGGTCCTAATGACCAGTGGATATTGTGGCAGATGATTCGCATGTTGGATTCCTGAAGTGGGAGCCTCTGCATGTAGTGCCGACCCGAGAGTGTCGGCATGTCCACGCATTGATGGGGTATTCCCAGAGCCCTCCAACTTCTTTCGCGGCGGCTGAAACGTTCTCTCAACGCACAACTGCCTTGAAAACAACTCGCCCCTTTCCATCTCTCTGACAGGAAATGGCAGCACATACTGGACCAATCGACCGTCCATGTGGGCCTTCGATGGGTCATCTTTGCGGCGATGCTCACGCTCTACGCCGTGCGGGTCTTCTACATCAACGGATGGTTCATCGTCACCTACGGACTTGGCATCTATCTTCTCAACAATTTCATCGGCTTCCTCTCACCGCAAATGGATCCAGAATCGGAAGGCCCGTTGCTCCCTACGCAGGAGTCGGAGGAATACCGCCCCTTTGCCCGCCGTTTGCCCGAATTTAAATTTTGGTACCAGTGCGCCAAGGCGACGTGGATCGCGTTTACCATGACTTTTTTTGAATTTTTCGACGTGCCTGTATACTGGCCCATTCTTCTCCTGTATTTCGTAAGCCTCTTCATCTTGACGATGAAGAGGCAGATCCGGCATATGATCAAGCATCGCTACGTGCCGTGGAGTAATTCCAAGGCCCGGTATGCGGGGGCGGGGGAGAAGAGAGCAACGCCACGGTGATCGGCTGGCCAGGGGGGGGGGGCTAGGAAGGACAGGAGGGAAGAATATGAATGTTCCATAGAGGGCCCGGGGTATAGAGGGGCCATGGCGGCGAAGCCAGGCCGCGCGAGTAAGGCGTGGCCTTCTCCCTATCTCCTTGCCTGCGTGCCAGCGGAAAGACCTTTGTCGACTCTCAAGATTGAGGCCAGCAATATCTGTCCGGGAAATTGCTTTGAAAGGGCGCATCCAAAGGGGAGAGCCACGGAGGAGCACCAAGGGATGGATGGAAGACGCTCTGTCGTGTTCACGATGTGGAAAAGATGGGGAAGGTGGCACATACTCCACAGGGGTGGCCGCCCCGGGATAAAGCGAGGGGCGTAAAGCAGAGAGAAGGCGAGAAAGGAAGGCGAGGAGATGGTCGAGCGCCAGGCTTGCAGCTTTCAAAGAACCATACCACAAAGTGCGCTGCAAAAGGTCATAACCCAACGCTGGTGCACACAACGCCAAAAATGTGTTAAATTTAGTTATTGAGGGATCACGATACCCCGATCCCTAGGACTGCTCATGAGTCGAGCTCACCAGCTTGAACGTCGTGGGTGCCCTGCCGTCTCTGACCTTTGCCCCGTTACTTTCTCTCCAGCACGCCTAGTACGCATTGAAAATGACGCTGCTCTTACTGCTGTACAAAGGCACGGTACCGCCCTCCCCTTTCTCCCCCCTGCCCTCGGCTTCGTCCAAGTACAGCGACCGTAAGCTCTCCCACCCCGGGGCCTGCGTCTCCAGATTGATGGGATCCAGCCAGGGGAAATGGTGCTTGATACTGTCTCTCACCGCTTCAAAGGCCCTTCTGTTCCCCTTCTCATTCAGGTGCAAGCCGTCCGAGAGAAAGCTGGCGTAGGTCTCGTCTTGGGGCATTCCCTCCCCTCCCACCGCCTCCTCGATCTGGACCCCAAACGAGGCGTGTATGTCCACTACCGGGACTTTTATGGCCTGCCCCACCTCTCGAGCTGCCAGGGCGTAGGAAGCAGTGCGCGCGAAGGACCGGTCGAGGAGGGAGGTTGGGCACGACGAGCGGAGGAATGCAAGCCATTTCCCTTCGTGCAAAGGGGGGGGAGTGACGAGGAGGATGGCCACCTGGTAGGGAAGAGCAAGAGGGGGTTCGAGATCAGTAGGGAGTGGTACAAACACAGACGTTGGCCTCCATGGAAAAGGAGTCTGCGCCACATATATTAGGGACATAGTCGTTGGATACACGCAAGCACCGTGAGTCAGGCCTCGTCGCTCCCTCCGTCCCGGATTCCGCCCGACGTACTTGACGATCACGCCGACCCAAGCCCTTGAAAAACCGGACCATTTTCTCCAAATTTTCCTTGTATTTCCACAGGGGCACGTGCTGCCGTGAGCTTTCTACCGTAGCATCGTTGGCACCAAGCCATATCGTCACCAATACAGGTGGTCTCCGTCTGAACATACGGGAAAAGAGGTCCACCAACATCCGAGACAACCAGTCTGTGTTGTACCCGCTGAAACCTCGATTTAAAACGTCCGCTTTCCGGCAATAAAAATCCTCCAACCGACCCACCCACCCCACGTGTTCGGGGCTGTGCCCTCCCTGTGTGATACTGTCTCCAAAGCAGACGATCACTGGCCGGCGCCCTCCATTGCTACGCCGGGAGTCTATGTAGCGTTGTACCCTCCGCCAGGACCGGGAAGTCATGTTCGCAATAAGAGTGCCCAATGCGAATGAGCCCAAAGTAATGAGCAAGAGGGAGGAGCGACGGATTGATATGTAGGACGTGGGAGGGACAGCAATGGCGCTTCTGCTGCTCATGCTGCTTGCCATTATCAGCCAACTTCAAGTGAGAAGTGGTTCTCAGCCACTGAGAAAGACTCCCACTCAAAGGTGTAGGAGTTGAATATTGTTGCCCACGACCAATATTTCTACGTGCGGGGAACGAGAGATAAGACTGTGTCGATATGGGGCAGCTATATTTGTCATGAAACCGCGCGCCTGCGCCTGGCCTCGCGATATCGTCGCCATTATCGCATACGTCGACGTTTGTGGGGGGAGGTTACACCTACAATTCAAAGAAATATCGATCCCTCTTGAAGTAGTTGCGTGTCTTTCGGCGTACGACATCTTTCTTAGGAAGTATTGTGCTACTGTATGTCCCCCGATTGCCTGGACGTCGCCTTTTGTGCGTGCTCAGCCACTGAATTCATGTGGTCATGAAAGCATAGCGGACAGGGATACCTGTGTTTATATGGAGTGCGTATCGCATAATGAGGTGCCAGCGGAAGATCATTCCATATTATAGCATTCTGAAATGCTCGGAGACGATCATGCAAAGCTATAAATCTGGTCTGCTGCGTGAAGTCGCGTGAACAATTAGGACTGTAGAATTGTAGAGGACTTTGTAATGTATAACACACAAGCAAGAAGTTTCCGTCCCCGCTTTCTTCTTTTTTGAAGACTTACAGCCGAAAGAAGTTCTTTCAAAAATCAAAATCCTGCCGTCGTGCCCATAAAGGGCATGACCCTCTCACAGCTCGCAGAGAAAGACTGTGAAGACAGAAACACAAAAAGTAAAATGGAGAAGCCTTTACACTTTCGTACGTGAGGACGGATATGGAGAGCATACGGATACATGTTTCATTTGAGATCTTAAAAAGCGTGTTTCGAATACATTAAATGCGTGAGTTCGCGGTCAAAAGCGCCGCTATCATCTCCTACGGCTCACATTTGTCTGTGAGCGACTTCTGGCAATATCCCCCGCCTCGTCTGCGGAATTCGTAAGCTTAGCAATCTGCTGCTTTTTCTGCGCGTAATTGATGGCATGAGCAAGTACATCCGAGCATCGCTTATACACCCGATTCACCTCCTCGTTCAGTGCCAGCCCCTCTTTCCCAATGGAAGGTGACGTGAAGCCTCCTTGCCCGAACTCCCCCCTTCCGCCGTCCCCCTCCCTCTCTACCCCCTTCACCCTCCTTTGAGCTGTCATATGTGCCTCTGCAAATGCTTCTGCCACCGTCCGCACGTCTGCATGCTGCGTCAGGGCCTCGACCTCCCTCCTCAACTTCCGCCACCCCGCAGCCCTCGGCAGCTCCTCCGCCATGATCCGCTCCAAGGCCCTCACAGTCCCCGCGTCCAGGTGCCCCAGCACCTGCCTTTGCAAGCAGCACATCAGCAAAAGCACCAACCCTGCCTCGTCTGTCCACAAGACTGCCCCTTCCCCACTGGGGCCGCGTTGCTCAAAAAGTATCCGGACCTTTTTCAGGTACTCCAGCCACTCCACCTTCCCTTCTTCCCCCTCCTCCACCGCCTGGATTCCCAATCTTTCTGCCAACTTCGCGCCCGCCTCCTTATCCAGGGCCTCCGCCCACATCATCCTCAGTTGCTGTACGCACCATTTGGCGGGTTCAGGGAGAAGGGCGGCGCCGGCGGAGGGCAAATTCATCTGTTGCGTCACGTCTACGGCCGGAAACACCCGCCGTTGCGCGAGGCCGACGTTCAAGGTGATGGCATGGTCGACCAGGGAATTGATTCGATGCGCCAGGCCGTGACCCCCGTCCTCCTTCCCTCCCCCCACCCCTCCCTCCTGCCCGCTTGTCACCTCCCCCTCCACCACGACCAAACCCGTCATCGCACCTCCTCCCTTGGCATCAGACATCTGCGCGCACCTCTCCAACAAAGGTCCGTGCAGAGCCAGCCCATGCTCCACCTCAGGCTTCTGCATGAATTTGGCCATCTCCGAATAAGCCGCCGCATGCCTAGACAGGTCATCGCAGACCACCAGGACTCGTCCCCCCTGGTCCCGCCAATACTCTCCCTGCGCACAGCCCGCGAAGGGGGCCAGAAACCGAAGCCCGGGGGGCATGTCCTGTGTGGCGGCGACTACTGTAACGTGCTGAAAGCAGGCACGGCGGGTGAGTTCGCCCACGGCCTCTTGGACTGCCCGGGGCTCCTGGCCAATGGCGACATAGACGCAGTGCAGTGGGGCGGTCGGGGAAGGGACAGGCGCCGCCGTGTTCTGGTTGGCGATGATCTGCAGGGCCAGCGTTGACTTCCCGCTCCCGGGCCTTCCGAAGAGTCCCACGCTCTGGCCGTGGCCGAGGGGGTGGAAGACGTCCAGAACCTTGACCCCTGTGCGCAGCCGGTGGCACAGGGGTTTTCGCGCCATGATCCCGGGCGCCCGGCGCTGGCTGCTCATGATGGGAGTGGAAGGAAGGGAAGCGGAGGAAGAGGAGGAGCTCTTTGTGTTTGTGCGGTCCGATGGAGACTCTGTGGAGTCTACTTGCTTTGTGGCCATAGCGGGTTCCAGATCAGGCAACGGCCTCCCCAAAGGATCGACGACGCGTCCCAGCAAAGACGGACCCACCGGCATGCTGAGCGCTGTGTCCGCCAAGACCGCGTGGGCGCCTTCCACGGGCATTGTCTTGTCCAAGAGGGCGACAGCCACCGTGTTTTGTTCCAGATCCACTACCAGCCCTTGCGTAAAGGACCCATCCGGCTGGGAAAAATGAACCAAATCGTGTATTTTTGCCTCGCGCAAGCCACTCACCCGTGCCAAGGCACTCTGGTGAATTTGGACCAGCGTTCCTTCCCTTGCTTTGTTCACGACGCCTCCAAAAAGTTCTGCGAGGAAGAGGTCCGCGTGAGGGGCCATGCCCCCACCTTTGAAAGAGGACAACGACCGTCCTGCGGCCCTTCTAGTTATGCTGCATAGAGGAACCAAGAGTTTTCATTGGAAATGTATCCTTGGTGTACGGAGTTGAGTGGTGGGATCGCACAAGCTCCTTGCATACCTGAAGTTGCCGTTTCCTTTGCAAACATTCCTGTGCGCCCTGTCCAGCAGGATAGCACTTTGTCGACATAACCCCCAGGGTCGCAACATAGTCCCTCGTCCTCGCAGATATCGCAGTCGTAGTGCTGCACGTGCGTGTTGTGCGTTTATGTGTTTGAAATGGTACAGAGATGTGTGTGTATGTGGTATGAGCGGTGGGGCGTGCGATGTAAGTCGGACGGCGGCGAAAGGCGGTGTTCAATTTGACAAAATGACATCAAACAGGAAGGAAAAAGTGGTAAAATCAGTCGTGACACACGTGACACACGAAAATGATAGTATGGACATGGGCGCTAATGATGAGAGTGACCATATACCACAACAGCAAACCAAAACTTCTCCATTTGCTTTTATAGTCGACAACATAGTTGGAGGCAGACCAACCTCCCCGCCAAAATTCTTCCTACACCTTCGTTGAACAGATTCTCATTGCCACCCATCCCTCACTGTCAATGGTTGCCCTACACACTCTACAGCTTATCCCAATCAATTTCGCATTCCCCTTCGTCATCACACGAAAAGTCTTTTTTCTTGAGCTCCTCTTGACGCTGCTTCAATATCACCTCTAAGTCCGGTCGGCCAGTGATTTGGAGGCGACGGATAGCCCATTGGTCATAGGCCCAGTCTGGCAACGTCAATATTGAAGAAATGCGAGCAAGGATGAGAAGTGCATCAGGCATAGAAGAAGATAGTCAGGAAAACCATGCATGTTTTGGAGTACAACACTGTCCGGTCAGGCTAGAGCACCGCGGACCTAGGCAAGAGGCGTTCGTGCGCCTGTATATTCACCAATAATAAACAAATGCTCAGTAACGAAGGCATTCAAATCAATGCTACGTACCCGCAGCGGCGCCGATAAAGGGGATCTTGGTGGCAGCGTAGACCCACCCTAGGCCGATAACTTCGTAGACGCGTCTGAAGACTTCCACACCCTTCACCACCTCCCCGTCGGGTAAAACCGCGTGGATATACTTCATGCCTGGCAATAAGAGTCGTCGTCAATGTCTGTTCCCCACACCGGTTCTTCTCACGAGGCCCTCCGCCCGCCATTCCCTGTCACTCGCGTCCCTTCACATCCCTTCTGAGTTCACAGCCGGCCACTCCAGGCAGCACACCCGACGACAAACTTCTCTCCCACTTTGATTCCTTCTGGACTACCCAAACAACCACCCAAAGTAAATACCCAAGCCCTAACTTTTACCCTCTCTTCCGCTCTTCCTACCTGCTTCATAATCCACCCCCCCGTTTTCTTCTGCCTTGAAGTTGGGGTCATTCAGATCCGTGAAGAGGATGTTGCCATCCACGTCTCGTTTTTGCAGAAATGTCACTTCCTGGTGGTAGCGTTGACATGGTAAAAAAGAGGGACCAAGAGACCGGATAGGCCAAAATGCCAGAGAAAGGTCAGGCGATCTAAATAGGGTGCAGGTTCAGGACATCATCGACAAGTCCATTACAAGACACATGCATGTTTGCCTCCATAGAGCACTGCAACTATCGTGCACCCAGCCAACAGCCTCACACGGGATACCAGGGCCAACAGAGCCTCACCAAGGACAACGATCTCACATACCTTCATGCACAGAGAGCATTTGCCGTCGTAGAGCAAGTTTATCTTCCAGGGTTTCACGTCGCTGTCAGGCGCGGTACTGGTTGTGGTAGAGCCCACGGAGGTGGCTTTTAGGGAGGACAAGGAACGTGACGGAATGGCCGACACCACGTCCCACGGAGAACTGAGGCCACTGCCAATTCCACGGGCCATGGAACGAGACAGTGGAGCCCCGCGTGCCACACCTCCCGCATGCCGGAATACGGGTACGCTGCGCAAGAGGTTTGTTGAACAGGGGAAATGGAATTGTGCTGGTGAAATGCCAGGGCCCTCGCTCCCTCATCCCTGCCATACTCTGTAAAAATTTCATGCTAACTTACACAAAAGACGCGGCAGACGTTGCCGATGACAGCGCCCAGATTCCTCTCAACAGCCCTCGAGCCATCATTTCGGCCACTATCCTATGGTTGATTGCTTTGCGGTTCGAGAATTATTGTGAGAAAGGAGCGCCGGGGCAGGCAAAGACGACTCAAACCTGCATTCCACTTTGCAAGCCCACAGCCAAAATTTGCCGACGCCTCCCTACGCTCCAAAACATTCGGCACATCGTCCCTTGAAGGTGTCGCTTGCGTGAAACGTGGACGTGAATGCAATCGGGGGGTCTCACGCGCACACTCAGCGACGACACACAAGCCTCCTTGAGACTGGTTAAGGGTGCGGTCCAATCAATTCGAGCCGCTCAAAAAAACGCTTCGCAGCACTTTCCATTCGAAGACTACAGCAAATCAACATATCGGTGAAAGAAATAAGTATAAAGTTTTGGGCATAGCGATTCTATTTCGTGCTGTCATATGGTTTCGTTATCCTGTTGCATCAAAAGTTCAAATTTCTTGCTCCTCTTTATTGACTGGACCCTGCATTGTTAAAGCTGGCATCGCTATTTCATATGTACACATGAAGCGTTGCAACTGCCCTCACACTTTCCCCTGGCTTTCGTTTACTTCTTCTTGAAGAAACTTCTATTCCGCATGTTCATTCGACGGGCCACGGCCCCACTCGACGAGGCAGACTTCTCTTCGTCATCAAACACATTCCCCAGGGAGAGTTGCTGAATGCCGGACACCACCAATAGAACGAGGGCAAATGCCACGGCATAGTACGGAGGAGGAAGCTCGGTATTGACGCCGTTGTAGACTTCCTGTAGACGAAAATGAAGGTTTGATACGGGTCAAGACGGGCAGGCAATAGCGAGAAACGAGAGCGAGAGGGAGAGAGAGAGAGCAAAGCCCCATCACTTAAACTTCATCTGAAGTCAGAGCACCGTATCAACGTTGATGATTAGAGAGCTTCCCCGCCACACCCAAGGCCAAGATGTGCAACCTACCTCCACCACCTCCCCCGCGTTCGTATACGACCCGTCGGGATTGGTGTAAGCAGGCGTGGAGGCCACCGCATCCGCGGCTTCGTCCGCCATGTCCGTCAGGGTGGACGGTACATCTTTGATGTATCGAGAAGCTGCAATCTACTCAGGAAAGAGGAGATGGAGGGGGTGAGCACATTTCCTTCGGCAGGGTCTGGAAGGCGGTAGACGGGGGGAGGAAGAGGAGGACGACAACGCTCCTCACGCACTGGCAAGGCACAGCTAATTGTGGCAACCAAACCCGCCCTTACACCAAGCTACTCCTATCCCTTTCTGGTGGACGTGTGTATTCCTATCCACGACTGCGCGTACCATGAGGTTCGTCGAGGTGGAGATGAAGGATTGAGGGGCTTCGGGCGGTAACAGCATCATTCTGGTCGCAACCTTGCCCTTGCCACATCTCGTTGGAATTCTCAAATGACCATTGAGCCCCCAACTGGGCAGAACGAAGGCATGTGACAGCACTGCACTGAAGAAAAGGAGAGACAACGTGGTTGCAATTCCTTGTCTTAGACCCATCATGAGCATGAAGACGGCGAGGCGGAGGGAAATTACGACTGCGAATCACGGCAGGCACACCCGAAATGTAACGCAATCCTCTAACCTGCAGTAAAGGAAAAGTTTTGCGTGAGTGTGCAAAGTACAAGTAGCCTTGTCGCCAACCAGAAAAGTTTCCCAGACAGTGATATCTTACGGGACCGTGCGGGGTGGAAACTGACGAAGAAAGGCTCGCCTGGGACTCACGTCGTCACATATCCATTTTACCGCAATAATTGTGGTTTTATCACCGCTTTGTACATGAAGGCACGTTTCTAAGGATCTCTTTTACGCGACCTCATCAAATTCATAGGGCCACCATGCCACCCAAGGGTGTTCACGCGAAAAAGGCGGCGGCCATGGAAAAGAAGGCCGCTAATGAGAGCGTGAAGGCGAGTCTGAAAGCAGCAGCACTCGAGGCTCAAGAAGCGGCAGCTTGGTGCGATGGTGCAGATCTTAGGACAGCAAAACGGAAGGAAGAGGAAGAAAGGAAAGCACAAGCAAGAGATGCCAAGAAAGCAGAGCTGAAGGCGTTGGAAGAGCAGGAAAACGCCATGGCAGCTTCCGTGAAGATAAAGCCCAAAAAGGTAGTAAATTCCAAACAAGCAGCAAAGAGCAATGAATTGAAGGAATTGGAAGCACAACTTAAGGCAATGGAGCTGGAGAAAAAAAAGAAGGAAGAGAAGAAAAAGGCAGCCATTGCAG